GTGAAATGGTTCACTTTGAACGTTCGTTCGGCGAAAAAATGTTGACTGTACGATACAGGCGTTCACGATAAAAGAGGAAATCCTTTACTCGGATCGTGACCTTAGTAATTTCTAATCCGTGACTCGTTGATTCGTTGATTCGTTGATTCGCTACAAGTGAATCTGCAAAAGTCGAGGGTAAAGTAAACACGACAAATGGGGCCGGCTTATACACTCGCCCCATTCATGTTTAGCCGCAGATGACAAGTGTTATCTGCATTAAACTCGAAATCCATATAGTGTTCAGAAACTTGTCACACGCGTCTTCGTTGACTGAACAATGACTAAGCTGACCGAAAGTTTCGTTTAGTTTCTATCGTACGATACATTGACTCGGAATTATGATACGTTTATGAAACATTTTGCATCGTATACACTGTTGGCAGCAGTCGTATCGCTTACGGTATTATAAATTAATAGTACATAAGGGTGTACACGCAACACACATACACAGAAAAGTACCTGTATCACGAGCAAACAAAGGAGTTCAAATTATAGGCAACTTGAAAGTAGTATCCAATCTTGTTACTTGTCTTAATACTTTACCGATAAAGGCTGGCTGCATACTAACGGCTGCACCTTGATAACGATCAGTAGAGCCGAACGAGTATCGCTACTCGATCGTTTAACCGAATTTTCATTTTGTTATTTGTCAAAGACTAATACTACGTATTGTTTGATTCGCCTTACTTTCACCTGAATTAAAGAGACATCGGGAAAAGATAGCGCAGAGAAATATTATACAGTTTCCCGTGCAAAGTATTACGCGTGTTACGTTGACGAAGAGTCGTTACACACCGGTTCAGTAACCCTTCCGCGACACCACCCCTATTATTATCCGTGACACATCCACGCAATGCCGTGATCCGCTTCATTCATCTCGCTAACATCTGTGACATCGTGCCGAACCAGAAATCACTTTTTTTCTCGATGGCGAAATCATTTTTCCATAGAATCGAAAAGTTTCAAGATTTTACGCAATAATGATTAACAACGCGTTACCATGTATTTCAGCTTTTCTAATCATTTTCATTCGTCGAGAATAAGAATATTTGCTCGAGGTCCTTTAAACGATTCGACGCCTATTCAATTTTTCTACAATAAATACGTATAAATACTGCTTAACATTCTAAATACGTTTCAATAACATGGCAAACGCTAGCGACTCTACGATTTGGATCCGAGGAAAACAAGTTGTACGATCATTGCTACGTTCACAGTATTGTCGGTACATACATTTGTCTTAACTACTTTAACGAACGGAGGAGAATTAACAAATATATGGCGCTTCAAATTACACGCGAAAAACAAAATGTGTCAATTGATCTAACGATATTGTTGTATTTTCAGTGATCATGTCAGGGACTAGCTGATGACGTTTCGAACATCCGCAATGATGTGACAATAATGATATCTTCACCTGTATCCTCTTAAATGACGGGAGAATTGTCCCTATTGTATACAATATACACAGCGTTTCTCATAACAGAATTATAAAAAAATCGAAGAGGGACAAGAAGGTGAAACAACAGAACAGAAAAATTTAATAATTGTAAGAAAAGAATAAGAAAGAGCAGAAAAGAAACGAAGAGAAGGGAAGAGAAGAAGAGAGAAGAGAAGAGAAGAGGAGAGGAGAGAAGAGGTGAGAAGAGGATAGAAGAGGAGAGAAGACAAGACAAGACGAAACTAGACAAGACAAGACAAGACAAGACTAGACAAGACTAAACAAGACTAGACAAGACTAGACAAGACTAAACAAGACTAAACAAGACTAAACAAGACTAAACAAGACTAAACAAGACTAAACAAGACTAAAC